GACCTAGCGGGTAAAAAAAAAACACACGTTTAATTCAGGAATAGAACAAAAGTGAAAATCAGTTACATAGTGTTGAGTGTTAAAAATGACCCAAACTGTGATCTTAAGTGTTAAAAATGACCTAACTTAAGTGTTAAAAATGACCTAAAAAAGTAACCCATGAACAATAGTGATATAACTTTTTTTTATCACGATTGTTCTCGGTAATTGAGTCAACTTTATCTTTCTAAAATTTTGAGAAACATAAAGTCGAAATTTTGAGTAACTTGTATAATTTTATTTTAATTGTCTTATTATAAATTTACTGCTTTAAAAATAAAGGAACAATTAATAATTAAATCTTTTGATAAAATAATCCTTGATAATAATGTTATCAACTCTATTTGTTTAAATCAAAAATGATAGAAAGTCATGACATTCGGAGAAGTACTATTAGTACTTCTCAGTTTCTGAATATTCAGAATAGTGTTGACAAAATAAAATCACTTTTTATTTTAAATATTATATTTATATATATATATATATATATATATATATATATATATATATATATATATATATATATATATATATATATATATATATATATATATATATATAATTTTTTACTTTTTACAATATTTAATATAATATATTTAATTTTTTATTTTTTACAATATTTGAACAACCGAGGGACAATTATAGTTAAACAATTTAAAGAATTATATCTTTAAATAAAATATTTCTTACAAATGGTCATTATCAATTGTGGTATGAAAAAATACGCAAAAGCTCAGTAATTGCATAAGTTTTATCAATTCTCTCAGTACTAATTTTCATTTAAGTGTCATCTAAGAGACAAAGAGGAAGTGTTTCAAAAGCAGCATGTTAAAAAAAGTAAAAAAGACATGCAATAAATAGCAGCAACTGGTTTAATTATGCTTCCAATAAACAAAATTAATTTTACCTTAACCAAAAGTTAATTTACAGCATTTCTTAATAAAGTTCCAGCTTCTCTCTAACTGTTGACTAATGATTAATATAGTAAATTTCACATCATATTAAATTTACAAAATTAAAACCATTTTTCAACAGTAAGCAAAATAATCAAGTGATGACAAAGGCAACTAAAAAAAAAAAGAACACAATCATGTTTAATTACAAAAAATAAATTAAAATCATTCAAATTTGAAACTGTTATTAATTGTTACTATGAATAGTAAAATTCATACTTTACTTTATTCTATTCTAAAGTATATATATATATATATATATATATATATATATATATATATATATATATATATATATATATATATATATATATATATATATATATATATATATATATATATATATATATATACTTTTATTCTGCTGATTAAACAGTTACATGTAAAAAATACATAAAATACACGTCGTTAAAAACAGTCATGTAAAAAATACATAAAATACACGTCGTAAAGATAAACATGATAAAAAACGATATTTTCATATTTTTTTATTTTATATTATGTATATTCTGTTCTAATCAGTCAGGGACTCAAAGAAGGTAAGGATGATGTGTTTAACATCACAACCTTTTCATAGAGCCCCTATAGTCACTCATTATAAAGACAATTTAATTTTTAAAAATAAAATAAAAATTCAATAAAAATAAAGCTCATATTTTTTTGGTGTAACAAATTCAAAAACATAAAATATTAAAAACAAGAAAAATAAGAAGAAGGCGGAAAAAAAAAAAAAAAAGTAAAAACAAATACTGTAAATTAAAAAAGTATATATGTCAGGAATTAAGAAGATGCATTTTAGTTTCCCGTTTAAACGATGAAATGCTTTTTAGGTCTTTAATATTTTTATTTTGGAAATGATTCCATGTTGATGGGCCACGGTTTGTAATTAAAAAATTTGACTGATGTGAATTAATTTTCCCTAAGTGATAGTTGTACCTGGTATTTGAACGCAAATTATATTTTTCAGAAAACGATATCAAGAAAGTATCTGGAAAAACGCTTGGTAGGAGGTTGTTTTTATATTTATACATAAAAATTAATATCTGTAATGTGTTAAGCTTCTCAATATCTAGAACTATCATTTCAATATTCGAAGTTTGAATGAAATTTTTGAAAAACTAAAATTATAATTGGATGAGCTTAAACACAAACACAAAATTTAAAATCTTCTTCACAAAAACTTGGAGTATATGCTGTGAAACAAATTTTGAATTTGAACTAATTAATTATACATCATTAAAAACGTAAATCCGGAATAAAAGAGGGGGGAGGGGCTATAGTATTTGTATTACACATTTTATTTACAAAGTAAAAGTACCTTCCGCTTTGCAAAAAACTTTTAACATTACCATAAAGTAAATAAGTTTTTAAATAATCTTTGAACAAAACTAAATCCATCTGTAAATTTGTTTATATCAACGACTGTTAAAAATTTTCGTCTGCCATTCTTGTGCGGTTTGGCATAAACATTTGCTCTGCTACACTAAAAAACGTTCGCTGCGCTTGCTGAGAAAACAGTGTTTATTTCAATTCTTCGCATTCTTCAACAGTGAAAAACCATGAAGGTTATTAAGTAATAATGCTAGTGTCATGAGACAATGTAAAATGAAATTAATCAATTTTAAACATGGCTGCTTCATCTGCTGAATTTGCACTTGCGCTATTTCTATTTTTAGCCAGCTACCGCTGCTGTCGGTTTTTGTTCTCCTATAATTCCAGACCAATTTTTTTTTTCATTGTTTTTGATTCAAACTTTCTTTAATTTTGGATGGATAATTAATTCTGGTATTCGTTCTTCATTCATTATGATTGAATCTGCTATCTATGACAGCATACATGTTTACCGGCTTATAGATTGCATCACTGGATTGAGATGTTGCAAAGAATGGATTAACCTTCCTCTATTAAAGTCATTTTAGTTTAAGTACAAATAAAACTGACAAAATATGTAACTAACTAAATTTTAAATTTTGCCGCCAAAAAAGCATGGAAAATGTATTTGTGTATTAGGGCTTGACTCCCTCTACAATTTTTTACAATTGCAAATTAATTAAAATTAATTTTAGGTTTTCTACGAAAATACTAATTAAGTATAAATATTTGTTTCCTTTATTATTTTAAGACTAAGATTATTTTAAAAAGTTTATTTTTTAGACTTTGCGCTTTGTGCGAGCTAAACTTCGTGCGCAAGCCTAAACCTCGTGCGCGAGCCTAAAACTCGTGCGCAAGCCTAAACCTCGTACGCAAGCTTAAACCTCGTGCGCAAGCCTAAACCTCGTGCGCAAGCCTAAACCTCGTTCGAGCCTATAGCCTTTGTGCAATCAATAAAAGAGAGAGTTAAAGCACACAAGCATTATGTCGAGACAAGGGTAGAAATACAAAAGAATTTCTCGAAAATAATTAATAAGTCATAGGCAAATTTGCTTTCTAACGCATCGCGTTTAAAACGTACCACTGTTGTAAAAAAATGAAATGTTGCTCAATATTATGACCCAGAAAAATCCTTTAGTGGCATTTTTTTTTTGGGTATGATTGTACTATCATTGGTGGTTACTGGGATATAAGTTCCTAAATCTGGTTATACCGTCCGTGGAAGAAAATCCATTTTCAAATTTTGCATAAAATTGAACAAAATACATAGTTGATAAGTAATTAACAAAGTCGGTTTCAAGAATTTTTATTCATCCCAAAAGCATAACAAAAATAATTATGCAGTCTATTCACAGATAAATAACAATTTTCGTCAACTCTGATAAAGTAAAGTTTCAATTCTAATTGTTTATTATTGAGAAAAAAGTCAAAAATGGTTTTTAATAAAGAACTTTTAAATCTTTGCAGTGAATGACAAGTTTATCCACCTGATTTGCGCCCTTGTTAGTTGCAACTTTGATCCAAGTTTTGTTAAAATGACTTTTAAGTTTTTTACTCAACTGATCAAACTTGAATAACATCTTTCGAATAACATCAAATAATATCTTGAATAACATTCTTATCAAAAATCCGTCTTGAAACAACTTGATTTAGTGTTGAAACCAGCTTTTTCACAACAGAATTAGACAGCCCTTTGCTGTGTTGCACATATACAAGACCTTTTGCTGTCATTTCTGGTTCTTTATTGAAAAGTCTTCTTGTTTATGAAGATGAACGTTAGAAATGAGAGATTTTATACATTACATTACAATACATTATTATGTGTTACCTAGACTTAAAATTTGAATCTAAAACTTTATATATCTAATACAATGTTACCTGCAAGAACTGGAATAGGGTGACCATCTCTTCCCTTAGATCTACTAAAACAAACTTTAATGATAAACTTCAACATTTCTTATCGCTTATTTTCTATATAATGCCTTCATAAAGTTACAATAACGTAAATATAGTTTTAATTAAGATCTTCAGAATTGGTTCTTGATGATAGCTTCTTAGTTGTGTTGGCATAGTAGCTGTTATTTACTTTTCTGGCAAAATTGATTCGTTCTGGAGGTTTTCTTCATCTTTCTCTTCTTTATTTGGTATCGGATTAAATTGTATATCCGTTGGTACTTTCTTCATGTGTGAAGCATTTCGAGTTTTTTGAGAATTGTCGACGGGAGATTTTGCAGTGATCATTGAACCATTCTTTGCAGTAATTGTGTAGGGTTTGAACTCGAATGGTGCCGTAATTTTGTTATATTTTTTTTGTTTTATCAATACTGTATCCCCGATATGTAAACTTGGATTTTTTGCGTGGTATTTTAAATCGTGATATTTTTTTCTGTATAACTTAGCATTTTCTTGTCTCTTTTTGGCTTGATCATTGATATTTGCGTTGACCTTTGTTTGGAATGAAGGTATTGTAAAACCTGTAACGCGATTAAACATGAGTGTAGATGGTGGTATTCGGGTTGTGCAATGAGGTGTGGTACGGTAGGAAAACAGGAAGTTGTATAATTGCTTTTTCCAGTCTTTCCGTTCAATGTGTGCTGCTGATATTGTTTTAATCAGTGGTTTCATAAAGGATTCGGCTTATGAGTTTGCTGGCGGCCAAAGCGGGGTGATTCGTTTATGTTGAACATTCAGTTTGTTCAAAAACATCTTTATTTTGAATGAAGTAAAAGGTGGTCCATTATCGCTGACAATCGTTTTCGATATTCCATATACTGCAATCGTTTTCTGTAGAAAATCAATAAGGAGGTCAGCAGATGTATTATGTATAATACCGACAACCGGAAATTTTGATGTTTGGTCTATAAGGACTACCAAATAAAATCCATTAGGTAAAGGGCCAAGGTAATCTATATTAACGGTGTCCCAATCTTTCTCTGGTGTTGGTGTGATTAATAGTTCGGCTGGTGCATTTTGTTTACCAAGGGCTTGACAAATTGCACATCGTTTTATATATTCTTCTACTTTAGTGTCTAGACCAGGAAAGTAAACTTTTTCTCTAAGTAATGATTTGGTTTTCTCAAGTCCCATGTGACTATTATGAGCAAGCTGTATAACCGTAATTTCCAGAGAATGTGGAAGTAAAATTTGATTTGCTTTTAGAATAAGATCTGAAGTCTGATTTATTGTAAGTTCTTGGCGTATATTACGGTAAGCAAGTAAGTCTTTTTGAAATTTTTTTAGTTCTGGCGGACAATTCGGATGTAATAGTTTATGCCAGGTATTAGTAATAATTAACTCTGTAAGTATTTGTAGAATAGAATTGGCTTTAGTTTCTCTTTGAATATCCAGTAGTGAACGGGCTTTAGGACATGCGTATTCAGCTGTAAAATTGACATATTTTTCTAGCCCTTCGTCCTTACAAGGGTCTACAGGGTGTCGACTAGAATAATCAGATATATTATTTTTTCCTTTTACGTAGTTTAGATTAAAAAAATATTCCTGTAATCGTAAAGTCATACGCTCAATGCGAAGTGGTACTGTAGCGTTTGGGTTGTTTAAAATCTTTTCAATAGCTTCATGGTCGCTGTACATTTTAAAAAGGTGTCCGAATAGGTATGTTTTATTATGCTCGCAGGCGTATACTATAGCTAAACATTCTCTTTCGAGCGTAGATTAGCGTTGTTGTACAGGCGATAGCGCTTTCGAATTATAAGATATTAGTTTAAAATCTTGTTTATTTGGAGTGTTTTGAACAATGACTGCCGATATGCCTACAAGACTTGCATCGGTGAAGACAGTAGTCTCTTTGTTGGGATAGAAGTATCCGACACATGAGTCCATTGTCATAGCGTTTTTTAGTTTGTCAAATACATGCTGACACTCAAGGTTCCAGTTCCATAAGGAAGCTTTATGCAGAAGGTTTCTCAATGGATAAGTAATTGTACTGTAGTGTAGAATGAAACGTTTAAAATAGTTCATAAGCCCGAGAAAAATTTGGAGAGCTTTAGTGTTTCCTGGTGTTGGCATGTTCTTGATATTATTAAGTTTTTCCGGATCTGGTTGCATTCCTTCTTTTGAAAATACAAATCCATAGAATTTGACTTTTTCTTTTCCAAATAAGCATTTTTCAAAATTTAGAGTTAAACCTCTCTGTTTAAATCTTTCTAATACTTTATGTATTATGCTCTTTTGTATTCGAAGCGAAAATTAGAACATCGTCGGCAATGTTCAAATTACCTTCTATATCTTTTAAAACTTGTCGTAAAGCGTTTTGTAGTTTCTCATGCACGGAGTTTACTCCAAAATTAAGTCCTTTAAAACGTTTAATTTAAGTTTCGGATTGAAAAGTAGTTATTGATCTGGATTTCGGTGCAAGTTCGAGCTGGTGAAATGCCTTCATTAAATCTAGTTTCGAGAAAACGGCGGAGTCTTTTAGTTTTATAAAAACATCGTCCAGGGTTGGAGTTGGAGCATTCTTCCAATAGCTTTGTTAGCTGCTCGCATGTCTACGCAAATTCTTAGGTTGCCGTCATTTTTTGGCACAATTACCATTGGACTTATTCAGGGTGTCGCTTCGTCTGTTACCGTTTCAATTATTCTTTCTGCTTCAAGTTTTGCAAGTTCAACTTTAACCTTTTCTCTAAGTGCAAAAGGAATTCTTCTTTCTCTTTGTGCGACTTGTAGTATATTTTCATTAATTTTCAATTTTCCTTGGTAGTTGGAGAGTTTTCCTACTTATCGCTAAAAACAGAATTTTTGTATGAGTTTATAAGTGGTTCTAATCGTTTTGAAGCGTTTGGAAAGAGAGTATTGTTTAATTTGCTTAAGTTCTGCAAAGAATGACAAACTTGTTGTTTACTGTCGTCATGGTTATTTTGTTCTCTTTGGCCTTTGTTTAAAAGTTTCTTATAACGTCAGTATTTAGTTGTATTAAACCGAGTAACTTAGCGTCATTTCTAGATAATAGGTTTTTGTGGTGTGTTTCAACCACGTGGAATGTGGACTGACAAAATTTGGTTTGACTTTCTATCACGACATTGATCTGTCCTTCTATTTTAAGCTTTGGATTGTTATTCCCGTAAGTAATAATCTGTGTTTTAGATTTTTGTAGTCGAAATGGTCTTTTAAAGAAGTTGTTTATCTTTTCAAATGTTTTAAAGTTTAGAATGTTTATCGAAGCTCCGGTGTCTATTAGAAGGTTATTGGTATATTTGTTAAGTCCGTCGTTAGATATCTGTTTAGCATTGACAGAGTACAACTCTCCTTCGTTTAACTTTGACTGAGGATTTTCGGATTCATTGATATCTTTGTAAATTGTATTTAATGGTTTCGTATAACCTTGTTTATTTCTTTTGTATTTCTCTTGATGTATTCTTGTATTCTGTTCGTTTTGTTTTCTAGTTTTACAGACTGTTGCAAAATGTCCGATTTTCCCGCAGGAGTGGCAAGATTTCCCCAAAGCTAAACATATATTCGTGTGTGGAAATTCGTTTCCACATCGGTAGCAAGTTCTTTTTAGCGACTTGGTTTCTGTCTCATGTGGCGCTTGACTGGTTTGTGGGAATTTTTTTTTCTTTACTGTATTTACTTCTTTTTATTTTATCGTTTCTTTCTCAAGTTCTTCTATTTGATGGTCCATCAGCTCAAATGTTTTGGCAGTAGTTAACAAGTCCTGTAGAGTTTTGTTAGGATTTCGGAAACTGTATTTCCATAGTTTTGAAATATTTGTGCAAAGCTCAATTTGTTGTTTAATTTTTTTTATCGATATCAGCAAACTCGCATTTGATAGCTTGTTCGTTTAATCAAACGAAAAACTGCTGAGTGGTTTCGTCTATACGTTGAGCCATCTTGCGAAAAATAAAGATTTCATAGCTCAGGTTTACTTGGGGCTTGAAATGTTCGTTGAAAGCTTCGACAGCTTGTTGGTATGTGATTAGTGTACCTTGAGGTATAATGTTTTCATAAATTTCGTAAGTGTTATCTCCAATTAAAGTTAGAAGTAACTAAAGTTTTTCTTCACCGTCTGTAATTACAAATGAATCGCAAAGTAGCTCAAATCGTTTAATGTATCGTTTCCAGCTTGAAAATAACTTACTTGCTTCTTCAGTACATGAAAACGGTGGAAAGTTTGGTAAATTAAGGTTTTTTATAGCCATGGATAAATACGCTTTTTACTAAAATCTTCGTTAATTTTTTTTTTTTTTTTAATTTCTTTTCTTTTATCTTCGTCGCCAATTTAATGATAAACTACAACATTTCTTATCGCTTATTTTCTATATAATGCCTTCATAAAGTTACAATAACGTAAATATAGTTTTAATTAAGATCTCCATCTCGGGGCACATTCTTGCAAAAACTGTTCCATGGGGTAAAGCTTCCTTGTTGGCAATGACTGGAGCTGCAACTCTTTTAACTGCCACAGGCTCCTTTGACACAACCTTTACTAAATTCTTTCGCAAGGTAGACTTTGTGAAGTTTTGTAGCAGAGCCTGGCCAACAATTGAGAAGCATTGAGAACATCTTCTTTCAACTTAGTTTTGGTTGGCTTTAGGTTTCTGGATTGCCAAGACTGGATGTGGATAATTGTGCTTTGCTTTGCCAAATGAGCAAATCAAACAATCGCAAATTGAATTTTTTGAAACATGATAGACTTTGATCGTGGAGAAGTCAAACAGCTGTGGTTATGTTTGATGCTTTCCCTCCTCAAGCCTCCTAAAGTTGGAACGGAAACGCTCACAAATGCCTGGTGGGACTTTTGGATCTTTAAATTAAATTGGCGGCTTCAGAATTTGTTGCACTTTTTTTTCATGACGCTGGTTAAAAAGTAACTAGTCTTGCTAAGACACAATAAGCAAACAGTCTTCTTGTTCTTCTCGTGGTTTTTGCTAGATTAAGCATATTTTGCATTAATTTAGATGCCAAAACTATAAAAAAAATGGATTGAACAACTAATGCTCCAGCTTTTTCCTAGAATTTTGTCATAATAGTTTATAAAAAATAAAAATTTCGATTTTTTAAAACGTTTTTGGTAGAGATAACTTATTCTTTTTTTAAACAAAAAAATGCAACCAATTTTCTTTTCTTCCAAAGACAACTTATTTAACACTACCTATCAAAATTTATGAAGTGAATGAAAGTAAAGTATATAAAAAATTAAGTTTTATTACTTTTAAATATATTGTTAAATATTAAATATATTGCAGTTTTATTAATGCAATTTTATGCAAATCGTAAAATCGATTTTCTTCCATGGGCGGTGTTACCAGATTTAAGGACTCATATCCCAGTAACCACCAATGATAGCATAATCATATCTCAAACAATTTTTATGGGTCATGACATCAAGCAACAGTGGTACGCTGAATACATGAATAATTAATGAGTTTAAAACTCATACTTTTGTTTTCAATGATTTGCCTGATTATCAGGCCTAGAATCTAAAATATTTTTGAAGTTAACGTCTCTCTAACTCCCAATCTCATCATTCAATTTAAAGTAAACTTTGATGCAGATTTTTTAGTAAGATTGCTTCGATGTTTATAGAACAGATTTTTTTGGAAATGTTCTTGGAATTGTTTTTGAAATTGTTTTAGGAAATACTTTAACTTAAAAACAAGTCATGAAAATTAATGACTTAAAACGTCCATCTTGAAAGATTTTTATGCTTAACGTTTTTGAAATTTGCCGTGGTAGCAAACTTGTTAGGGTTTGTACTAACACCGCCTGGAGATAACGGGTGTATGCTTAAACTCTCTAATGTTTACAGAAGAAGTATGTCGGGAAATTTTTGGCTTTTTCATTTTGAAAAATTCAGGAGGTATATCATTTAAAGAAAAGATAGATTTCAATTAGAGGTGGCTCAAATGTCTAGTGTCACCTTTTTTTGTTTATTTTTAAACACTCAACTTTGATATATTAATACCTAAAGAAGTATAGCAGTTCAAAACAACCTATATCTCTGCAGTAATTTTTGTTTTTGTCGTGAAAAAATTTGCCTTCTAACACTTGTAAAAATTCTTTTTCCATTAGATTTATTATTTTTTCATTTTTTTTAATAAAATCTAATTTAAGGCAATTCAAAGCTTTTAAACAAGAAGATCAGTTAATAAAACTAAATTATTTCACTAAATTAAAAAAATATTGTAGCAATTGCTTTTCGCGTTCCTTAACTAGGTTGCATGTTTTTGTGATTAGGCGACACTATTGAACTTTCTTTGTTTTTTCCTTTTCACTGGAAACACGATAACAGAAATCGCGTTCCAAATTTTTGAACAGCTTTGCAAACTTAGTGATCGAATTGCAAAAATCGTTAAATTTAAAAAAGTTTAAACTTTGTCTGGCTAAAAGATTAAATTTTGGCCAATGCAGATATCAAGACACATTGGCATGGTATTATAAATTTAGTTGAATATCAACTTTTACTAGATTTTTTGCAAAGACACGGTTTTTACAATTTTGAAAAACTGCAATTTTTTTATATTTTTTTATTTATTTTTATTCTTTTGAACTTCATGCTTTATTTTGCTATACAATGCCCTTATATTCAAAGCACTGTTTTGACATTAGAAACAGCCAGAAATAGCCATAAAGACTAATCCAAAGTCTATATAAAAATTAAAAAAAAAAAAATTAACGTCCGTTATTGACCAACATTTTTGTGTACCAAAGCACTGCTCAAGCGCTGACTGGTTTTAAACTCGTGTAAACAACGGTCCGGGTTTTAACATTTCATTTGACGCTCTAATTAACTGAGTTAACTAACTAACTGAGCTAATTTAAAATGGCCGGATGGTTAATCCGACTACTATAAACTAGCAAATTGTTCTGTAAAATACACTACTCGGGCCAGTTTCAAAAAGACCCTACAGTACTTTTTTGTTTCATTTGCAGGCTCAATAAATTCTAGTATCACATAGGAAACTAGGCCCACCAGTCATCACTTATGAAATGAAATAATGATACAATATCAGCTGTCATCGCTAATTAAATAATGCAACAATATCTATAAAAAAACTTATGAATTGAAATAATTTATAGTATCTTTAAACATAGTAATTATAATTATAACAAGTTTAAAGACTTTTTTTTATTAAACTTTTATTAGTTTAGAATAATAGTTTAAATAATAAATACTTACATAAACAAATACTATACTTTATACATATGTAGATAGTGCTGGGCCATATATATGTAGGTGGGGCTGGGCAGAGGCAACTCTAAGAAAAAAATGAGGGAGGGGGCGAATCCTTAAAAAGTACTTTTTAAGGATTCTAGAGTTTTTGTAATGACATCATCTTTTGAAAAACCAAAAACTGGGACTACTTCACCTTAATAATAATTAGAGATAAAACCAACAACATAGTATTTATTAACCATTATTATAACTAATAACAAAATAAATAGCCACAAATAACATTACAAAGTTTGGTGAAGTTTAATACAGATTGCTATTAATCCAACGCGAAAGTTTTTATCCAGCGCCAGATTTACTTACTTAAAAGTTATAGCGCAATAATTAAAATATTTTGAGAAAATTTGCCCATTTAATATAATATACGTTTTTTTAACTGGCCTACTATTTTTTTTTCAATTTAAGCAGAATAGAAGGCCGTGTATAAGTAGGCCATGGATTCCAGATATTTTTTAAAAACAAGATTTTAAAAGATTCTAAAGTATCTAAGATTCTAAAAGAGGGTGTCTGAAAAATTTAAACTTTTTATCAATAAAACGAACCAGCTTAAAATAAATCTTTTGTCGTTGTATTACTTAAGAAAATAAGAAAAATTTATTTTTTTATACAAACTTATTGATGCATATTGGTATTTTTTACGCATTTCGGTACTTCTGTAAAAATCCTAGAAATTGTTGAAACTAATGGCTCTGTTTTTTTACTGCAATAAATATTGTATTTGCTATTATAAGTAGGCCAAGTTCCGATGCTAAAAGCAATTAATTTAACAAAAAACAACGACTTTGTATACGTGATTACATGGTTTTTTTTACAGTTTTATAGTTTTAAATTTAAAAGTATACTTTTAAATTTAAAAGTGTAAAACTATAAAACTTAAATGAAATTAATTAGATGAGTAGTTAACATAGTGTAGAAATACGTTTTAATAATTATCATAAAACTTTTGTTTAAAAACAAAAATTGTGGAAAACTATTTTTTTTCATTTATTTTGAACTTTCTTCAGTTGAAATTCCGTTGATTCAGTTGATGTTCTTTCTCATTAAACCTTTTGTCTCCAACAAATAAAAAAAAACATTTTAATTTTATGCCATCAACAAAATTCTTTTATAAAAAATTTTTTTTAGGTGCCCCAAGAAGTCCTTACGGTCTTATCACAGAGCATCGCGGATGAGCATAAGGAGCATTATGAAATTAAGGAAGTTTGCGCCTCTTTTCTAACCGTTATCACAAAACTTGTTATTTGAACCACGGATCCTACTTTTCTGAGGTTATGGCTCTCAATGAAAATTGAAGAATCCCGTAGTTAACGTGGATTTATTTATTTGGAAACCCATAAACAAATACATCTTAAGAAATGACAGTTTTGTAAGTAAACCACTTTGTAAAACAAGATTTAATCAATTTTGTATTTCAAATCGTGCACCACATCTCTGGAATAGAATTGATTTACCAACATTTGATTTGTCGATCGCTTTTCCAGTCTTTAAAAATAAATTTAAAAATTTCATTTTTTTCAATAGAAAATTTTTTTGAATACTTTTGATAACGTAGCTATTCAATATAAAATGAAATTTTATGATACAATGTGTATATTTATATAAGTTTTTCTTTCTAGTAGTGTAATAAGTGTTGTTTTTTAAAAAAGGTTTGGCGATAAGATCATTAGGATTTTCTATCAGATGTTTGTATTTTAATTTTAAATATTTTTTTGTTATCTAGACTTAGAATTTAAAAGTCTACGAATTTTACATGTTGTAAAGGATTTTATTATGTAATACAAACACAAAAATATTTTAAAAAAATTATATATATATATATATATATATATATATATATATATATATATATATATATATATATATATATATATATATATATATATATATATATATATATATAGATATAGATATAGATATATATATATATAGATATATATAGTTGATGATACAAATTTGTCTTAAAATAATTAGACCTACAAAAGAAATTTTGTAAGCCCTAGATTTACATAGAGCTTAAGCTCTATTTAAACAATCTAGACTTAGCTTAACCCTGATAGGTTAAGGCCTAATTAGGCCTTATTAGCTCTAGGCTAGCTAGTTATGTTATATTAGGCATTCTCTTCTTATTCAAACAAAAGTTTTAGCATTTTTATTGAAGATTCAAATGTTAACCTTGTTAAGGAGGAGAGGAAAAGAGCATCTCCCAGGAACAACGTCAAGAAACCCTAACTCTTTTGCCAAGTCAACTCATCCACGTGTGCGTTGCTGGAGGAAGTGCCAGCGACAGCTGATACTCAAGAAAAACGGCATAGTTTTAAGTGAATTGCCTATCCAGAACTACATAAAAAAAATATAATGAAACGAAAGATTTCAACAGAGGAATAATATGTTACGACAAAAAGGAACCAAAGGTTTTGATTGATAGAGATTTTGATTGTAATCTAGCAGTAGTAAAACATCAGTCGCTTGTCGAATAAAAATTGTTTCAAACTTTTATACCATGAAATGAATATAAAAGTTTTAAAAAATTTTGATTTATTTATGATTTAAAAAAGGTTTTTGTGGATATTGAAAGTAAACACGGGGCAATACTGCATTAAATATATATATATATATATATATATATATATATATATATATAACAAGAGTTATGTAGTGGTAGTTTTATAAATACCTTGCTACTCAATGGCCGAGATGATCTTTTTTTATTATTTATTTTTATACAGCTTTTTGCAATAAAAGTTTTTTTATTAAGGTGGCACCTAAAGAAGTATAAACAAAATTTATCGGAATTATAGCAAAACATCGTTTTTAGGAAAAATACATGATTAAATTTTTTAAAAATATTTTCTTACTTCAAAATATTTGCTTCGATTACCCAATTAAAAACTTAAAATAAGCAAATTTTTTAAAATAAGCAAATTTTTTAACATAAAATTTGGAACATAATATAAACATAATACCAAATTTATTTGAAAAAAAATAAAAGAGAAAAAAAAATTATTTTTGAAATAGTGCATAAAAAACTAACAAATTCTTACAAATTAGGCGAGTCAAACAAGATTAATATGACAAAATTTTAAGAACTAAAATGCGTTGAATAAAAACCTTCTCTCAAATGATTATTATTTCATTATTTCATGCAAGAAGAAGAATCATACGTTTTTTAATTTGATAATGTACCATAAATACATTATTATTTTATACATTTTTAAATATTCTTGTTGTTTTAAATTTTGCTTAAATTCTTTGAAATTTAATTTAAATTCTTTGTTGTAACGGGGATCTGAAATGCTTAAATGGGCTAAGACCCTCCTCAATTTTACTCTTTTACCCCATTTATCACTCTTGTCACTTTGTTCAGATTTAAAAATTGGCTCTTTTTTTATTGTTATAAGGTCATGGCTGTTATTATTAAGTTAGTTACAATAACTTACGATGTGGTACTTTGCAGAAACAAAGACGCGAGGGCGCAAAAATTAGACAGAATCGAAAGGAGTGCATTGAAACCGCTTTTTAACCGTTTTTTACATTGTAAAAATTATTTTCATTATTTTAAATTCAAAGTTTATCAAAACGTATATACTAACATAAAATGATTTTATTTATTCGTCTTTTGGAAAACAAATCAATGTATGACATTTCTTGGATCTCAATTGAACAGTCCCACAGTAAAACAGGTGATGTGCTGGTAATTGAAATAAGTTTTGTTCTCTTTATAATTTTTAAATTCTTTAAAACGTTATGAAGAGAATTCGCTTAGCGGTTTTGAGTGATAAAATCCTAAAACGTATTGAGAGAACGTTGAAATCTTTAATAGAATGGTGGAATATAAAAAAATAGAAAAACATTTACAAGCAACTCTTGAAAAAAATATTTCAAAATGATCTCTTTTTCTTCTTTTTAAATTTTTACAATATTTTTTTTGTACTTTTACCTTGTAAAAGTATTTACAGTAGGTAATTAGTTAAAAAAAAACAACTGAAAACTCTTGAATTAAAAAGTTTTCATTTCAGTGACAAGACATAAAACCTGGAGGTTTTTTTGGCCCACAATATACTTAATCGTCATTGCCGTAAATACCTGCTAGACAAGAACGGCAAATATTTACAACTAATTTTTATGAAAATTACTTAACGACCTTAACGACCGCCAAAAAATCAAATATATTCTCCATGTGATTTATCACACGATATTAAATTTACGATTTTTTTTCTATAAAAATTAATTTTTGGTTTATTATACACTCGAATCGAATTAAAAATGGCCGGTAAAAAACATAAACAATCTCGGAAAATCTTAATTTAATTTACTATTCAATTGATTTATAAAATGCAAGTTGATTTCTCTGCACCTGTCTAAAGATTTATTTTTCAAAGAATGTACGTTATTTGAAAAAAATGAAACAAAATGTCTGGATTAAAAAAGTTATTATCAGGGAAAAAAAAATCTGCACAAAAAAACCAAAAACAAGAAGAAACAGCTGAGCTACAAAAAGCTTCCTTAGGTAACTTGTCCTTTAGAAGTAAATCAGGAAGCAGTATAGATCTTATAGGCTTATCAGAAAATAAAAATGGTTATATTGTAAAGAACAAAGATTTATCTAAAGTTTCAAAAGCAGTTTGGCAAGGTGATTTGCTAAAATTGAAAGAAGTTGCAAATAATAAAAAGAAAGTAAACTGGAATGAAACAGATAAAGAAAACAGGTGTGCTTATTTGTATTTATGGATACCTGTTGCATTAAATTTATCAAAAAAGTGGTTTATAATCACTGTATCAACCTTTTTATAACAGTAGTAATATATAAAACAAGACTGCGTCTTATTAATCACTGTTTTATTTTGAATTTTCAAATTTATTTAACCTAACAATAAAAAAAAAATGTTATGAGCTGTCATTATAAAATTTGTTACTTTATTGTTTTTAATGCTTTAGAAATGTGGTAAAAATAATAGATTTTATAATAATACAGTACTGTTTAAATAACTTATTAGTTTTGCAATTAATTCAAAAGTTGTGCATTTATTACGAATTTTTTATACTTTTGCTATAATTTTTTTGTTTTTATATACCTAGTTTAATGCATCTAATTTTCAATGTTCTTTTTTATTATTATTATATTTAAACAAAAGTTAGTCGTTGTTCTCACTTATAATTATATCTTAAACAATGTTAGTTTTTTAAATGAAATAACAATAAGTTTAAACAACAACAATATAAAAACAATATAAAAACAAGAAATGAATAATGTCACTATTTCTACATCCCCTTCCATGTTTTTAAGTGTCAATGAATATAAACATAATTTCTGGGTTCATTTCTTAAAGTCATCTAATGTCAAAGATTTCCCGGTTTCTGGTTGATAGAATTTTTTGGGGATACGTAGCCTGGATGAACGTTTCAATGGTTGATCTTCTACGACTTCAGTATTTAATAAGGGTGGCATCACTAGATGCGGCGAGCTTGTTGATAAAGATGCTGGCATTAACGGTAAGGGTACTGGAGTTGTTGGTAGAGGTAGTGGTGGTACTGCTGGTGCTAATGTAGAAGGCGGTAGCAATACTGTAGATGGTGCTAGTTCCAGTTGGGATGGTATGACTTTGTTGCTACTTTCTGGGACATACTCTGTAAATGGTGTTGGCAAATTGGCAGAGTTATAGTGACTAGAACTTGTTTTTGGTGGTGTGGTCAATGCAACTTCGGTTTCGTATGACTTTAGTGGATTGAGGAATTTGCGCAAATATTTTCTATTTCTCAATGTTAGTCGACCTGTTCCTTCAACCTTAATGATGTATTGGTCACTTTCCTTACATTCAACAACTTTTCCACTACGATCCCATTTTTTAGGGTGGTTCCCTACTTGATTTTGTATGAAGACACTGTCTCCTTCATGTAGTGGTGTGAGAAAACATGTGTGTTCTTGAAGTGATTCAAGGGTCTTTGCATATCTCGTTCGTAATGCTTCTTCTTTTGCAGACCATGCATGTCTCCACGTTTTCAAGAATTGGTTGTTATTAAACATAGGTATTCTGGATTTTATCCTGGGCATGGCGTCGCGAATGGGATGGCCAAATAATACTTGAGCAGGGGATAACTGACAAGTAGGGTCTGGTGTGTTTCTTATTGTAAGCATTGCCTTTACAAAAGCGTTATTATTGAGATCACCATTTGGTCCCACATTATTTTCAAGGAGGCGTTTTGTTGACTTAACTGCAAGCTCAGCTCTTCCATTAGATTGTGGGTGGTGGGCTGATGAAATGCGATGAGTTATGCGCCATTGTTGTAGAAACTCTTTTGTTTCTCCAGAGGTGAATTGAGGACCACCGTCGGTTGAAATTTCTTCTGGGACTCCAAGTGTTGTAAATAGTTCATGTAAGCACGTGATAAGACCTTTTGCACTCATTTCTGATGTTCCTGATTTTATTCTGTAGGCTTTGGTCCATCCAGAAAATCTCCAATGACCAGATAATCCCAGCCACGGAATTCAAAATAGTCAGCAAATATGCATTCAAATGGTGTCACAGAGATGTGAGGTCGGATGGGTGGTAGTTATGCATTAGAAGGTGCATTTCGACTACAGCTGCATCAGTTATCGCGCTTACTTTGTATGCTGTGAGTGATACCTGGCCAGAAAACAGTGGCTTGAGCTCTGATACTCCTTGGCGGGCTGAGTGTAGTACGTCCAATATCTCTTTCCGTAGAGTAGGTGGGATTACAATTCTGTCGTTGTATATTATAACCCCGACGGACACCATCAAGTCATTGCGGTATTCCCAGAATAGTAAAAGATTTGGTATGAAGTTATTCTTATTTTTTGGGAAACCGTTTTCTATTGCTAACATTATTGCTTTAAAATCGGTATCCTTTTCTGTCTCTGCTTTGACACTATCCCATGTTACTGCAATCATTTTATCTATGTCGTTTCGTATCGAGGCTATTATTAGTGATTCTGTGTTGTCAAAATCGGTGTTTTGATTGCAAGTGGCTGAATTATCAGATTCTTTTGTGTTCTCTGCAGGGTAACGAGAAGTAGCATCTGCTTCCAGGTTTGTTTTTCCTGGTTGATGTTGGATGGTAAATTTCCATGGCAAAGTTCTCTGTTTTAGTTGGAAAAGTCGTGTGTTTTTTTCAATTCATCTAAGGTCCTATCTCCTAATAATTTGACAAGTGGTTTATGATCAGTTACTCCCATAAGGTTATCACAACCTTGTGTAAAATATTTAGTCTGCTCCAGGCTCCATGTCACTCCTAGCATTTCGCCCTCAACTGGTGCATATCGTTGTTCAGCAGATGACAGGAATCTGGACCCTGCTAGGGTTATTTTCCATCCGTCTATACAGCAATCTGGGGAGTCCGATTTACATTCACAATGTTTTTGGCTTAGGTAATATCCTATCCCCAATTTTGACCAGTCGCATCTTAAACAGGTCTTCTTGGTAATGTCAAATATTTGGACTCCATCTTTAATTGTGTTGATGATGTTTTCCTTTGACACGTTGTATAAAGTGTTGAGTTCGTCCGACCAATAAAATTTTGATTTAGGGCTAAGCAGAACTCTGAATGGGGCCATAGTTTCTCGAAGTTGAGCGTAATGTGATACTTGGGTCACTAAGCCGAACCAAGATCGGATGTCTGTTATTGAGGATGGTGTTGGAAATGATCTAATGGCGTCGATATATTTAGGTAGTGGTTCAACTCCATTTTCAGATATTCTGAAACCTGCAAAATCCACTATTCTTTTAGCAAATTGGAATTTTTTTGGGTTCAAAATGATCCCAGCTTTACCAACAAGCTCAAGAAATTCGATTGTCTGCCACCAATGTTTGACTAGGTCGTCATTGTAGTGGATGGTGTCATCTACACATCTTTGTTTGCCAATAAAGTCTGCTAAAATTTCGTCGAAACGTCTGTTGTAGCCATCCCCACTAGATACAAAACCTTGAGGAGCTCGGATGTATCTGTAGCGCTCAAAAGGAGTAATGAAGGTGGTAAGATTCCTGTCTTCAACCCGTATCGGGATGCTATGATAACCATTCCATGCGTCGGTTACAGTTTTCCATGAATTTTTTGGGACTGAACGAGCTAGTTGGAAAGGCGATTTCATTGTATGAGTTTCTCTGTAGCAGTACTTGTTTAAAGGAGATAGATCAACAGTGCGATGAGGCCCACTGTCATGCTTAGGTGTGATAACCATTCTATGACACCATGTTGTAGGTTCTCCTAGAGGTACCTTTTCAATAACTCCAAGAGTTTCATCACGAGTTAAATCCTTTTCCACCTGGTCTTGCCAATGGATTGATATGGTGGCTGGAGTAAATGCTGCAACTGGTTTGGCATTTTCTTGAATTAAAATACTTATTGGAGGTCCCTCTATATCAGGTAAAATCTGGTGTGAACATGTGTTGAATGTTGAAGCAGAGTATCTCTCAAGGAGCCACGCTTTCATCCGTTCGTTGTTTTCAGGACAGCAGACAAATGGAAGTTTGGTGGGTGCACCTGCTGGGAGACTTCTTTTAGGGCAATTGCACACGTGTGAGCTATTATTTTCACTGGATGTTTTGGTCCTTATAGTTTGGGGGCCTGAGTTAATAGCTCCGTGGAGGACACTGCCTATTACTGGAAAGTCCTTAGAGATGATACCCAGTTGGGTCATTGCTTCTTTAGATAGGTAGAATCTGTTTGCGTCTGGACTTATGTAAACCATTACTGCACATTCAACTTTGTGGCCATCAGATTGTCGTCCTTCGAGACGTAAAAGAATTGCACCATCTATACGAAATTGGGTTTTATTTGCGGCCGACATGCTATGTTTCACAAGTATTAAGTTGTTTGCATTAAAGCCTGCACTGCCAAACCCTTTCCTAGACCATAAGCAGGACTGTGCGCCGGTATCTGTAATAACTTGTATATATTTTGGTATAATGGGAGGAAATGGAATACCAAATGCGACATAGTCTGATTTGTTAGTAGTCACATGCAGCTGAATTGTAGGATGAACAAGCAATTGAGCTGTGGCCCATCCATCATGGGTAAATATGTGATGGTTTATTCCTGTGCAGGGTTGTTTCACATTGGTCTTCATTTGTGATCTAATTTTTTTATTTGAATGCTCAATTGCACTTAACTTTAATACAAGTCCGCCTGCCTCAGCATCTTTGGTTGCATTCAATTTCTTATCATTTGGGATGATTCTGTTGTTAATTTTAGAAGTGCGAGATCTGAGCTTCTTCCAACAGTCTAGACACAGCTTGTGGGGTTTTTTGTTCCATCCTCTGGATGTTTCTGTAAATAAACTGTAAGATTCTGAGCAATCTGGACATTTGGCTATTATATTGGTCCCTTTACTACTCTGTGTATTGCTCTTGTTTTGTTTCCTGAAAGTTGATACACTTGCTGTTGTTGAACTACAGCCTAGTGCATTTCGTGCCATTTCCTTACCCTCTATAAAAGCAATGATATCTGTGACTGAGGCTGTGTCAAGGGAGACCCATCCAAGTACATCTTTGCGGATGTCAGTGTCTGATAGCCCAGCAACAACAATGTCTCGTATGATAACATCGGTAAAATCAACAGTTGTTTGTGGGTGGCAGTGGCATTGAACAGTGTAGTTGCAAGTAGCAGCCTTGCCTTTCAGTTTTGCATAAAATGACCGAATACTTTCGTTGTGTCCCTGTCTCATTTGAAGGAGTTCTGCTCTTCTGACGGA